GCACAGGGTTTCAATTTCATTTCTTCCCAGCCAAGAAATCCCACACATTTACTGGTACCTTTGATTCCCACAGCCCTGCAAGGGCTGGGACAGGAGCCAGCCCTGAAGGCAGGGCTGAGACCCCTGAAACACTCACAGCTCCAGCAAACGCCTTAAATCTCAGCAAGGAAGAGACTGATTTACAACCAATTTGTTTCACTGCCTATTGATTTATAAAATAAGCTTGTACACGGTCACTGTGGCTCTGTTGCTCTCTTTGGCCAGAAGTAGCTCTCAATGCAGTCAAAGGAAAGACTTGTATTGCTCCTGAACAAAAGATAAATTAGGGCCTTCAGCAATTGTTGGTATAAACTTGCTGGTCTTTAAAATAAATAAATAAATAAATAAATAAATAAGAGCTGTTTAATCCTGCTGGAAGGATCCTGGAAGTGATGCAAAGCCAATTCTCCAGCAGCATTTCCATAAAGCCCCTCCACCCAGCATGCTGAGGAGCTGAGAGCGCTGCACAAACTTGCAAAGCTGATCATTAAATCAGAGGTTTGAAGCAGCCACACTCTCCATCACACACTGCTCACAGGAAAACAGTTCATTCAAAGCCCTTGATCCTCAGCCAGCTCACAACCTGAGGGGCACACTGGCCTCTCCCCCCTTTTTTTACAGCTGCAAAAGAAAGAAGAGCACGGAGCTGTTTTATCCTAACATTTGCAGTCCAGCTACAGAGAGGCTGGGAGCTGGTGGCACGTGGTGCTGGGAACCTGGCAGGGATTTCTGGGCACGTTTCTACTCCAGTTGGTGTCCCCTAAAACCACAGGAAAGCACAAAGCAATCGACATCTGCCCGAGATGTGCTGTGCATAAACTGCCCGGGCACCTCTGCACGACCTTGGACGGGGGAGGCTGCTGGGGATGCAGGAGGAACAGCTGCCCTGCCCTCCTCCCTCTGGCAAAGGGCACCTGGACAGGCCCCCAGCTCCTCCCTCTTGTTCTTTTCTAAGAACTGAAACCTTGCAAGGAACGTGGTTTGGGCAAAGTCACTGTGGCTCTTGCTGCAGGAGGTACAGATGGGAGATGGGGAAGCAAGAGGAACCTAAATTGTGTTAAAACAGGCCTTGGAGGAGGCAGTCCTGCTCTGTTCCTCTGGGACAGCACACACTGCACAACACCAGCTCTAACTTGAGGCTCATTTGAGTTTCCCTCCCGTGCAGCCCAGCTGTGAACACACTGCCCCTGCCAAACCTGCACCAGCCCACAAAGCACCTCCCCAAACCATTGCTGTCTCCATCCAACCATTTTCAGTTCACAGAATCATAGAATATCATGATTTGCAACGTCCTGGGCTCCAGGAGCTCTTCCTTGGTTAATTTTTAAAGCCCATTGGTGCTTTCACTCCTTGTGCTTCCCGAACAGCTCCCCAGCACTGACGCTCTCCTGGGTTTAGGAACCAGCCCAACACCCTTCCCTTGCAAAGCTGTTCTTCTCTCTACATGGCAGGAGGAATTCACTTGGAAGAGGGATCACAGCCACAGATTTCCAGGCTTCTCATTAACAGGCTGGTGGTTGTCAGACACAGAGATCACCAAGTGCCCCTTGCAGCCACCAGCCCTTGTGCTCACACCCCCCAGCACCCCATAATCTCACATTTTTGCTCCCTGTCACCCATTAACATCCCCCAGGATGTGAAAGTCCTCTTCTCCTGGTCATAACCAGTGCTGGTGGGTGGAACTGGGCTGGTTTCCCTCATGGGAATAATATCACCCTTCTCCACCTGGGGGCTGAGGACAAGCCAGTGGGAAGTTGAGCCACTGCTGCTAATAACGGCCCCTCTGACAGAAGATTGCAGAGCATTTGCTTCCAGGGAGGAACCAAGTGAACTGTGAAGGAGAAAAACATACCCTGCAACACCCAGAGAACTCGGTATTCATCACCCTGAGGGAAAGCAAACATGCCTTTGGAAAGAGAGCCCCAGACAGGCAGAAATCTTCCCATCCAAGGTAAATTTCAGATCCTGCCAAATCCACCTCGGTTGGGACAGCACAGGCCAGCCAGAGGAGGAGGTGGCTGTAGGTGCACCTTCAGTGGTGCTGCTCCCCACAGCCCCCCCTCCCACAGCTGGGACACCTTCCCCAGTGGCTCCCAGCCTCCCCCAGTCTGGCTGGCACTGGAGCAGAGGAGAGGAGGGTGAGTTTTTCAGCAGGCAGAAGCAAAGGCAGCCGCTTTCATGGCAGCATCAACTGCTTCCCACCGAGGGGCACCCACACCTTGTCTCCGCAGGAGGCAAATTGTGCTGTGATTTCCTCCCCCCTTCCCCCAGCGCTTGGTCCGGCAGCTCCCGGGAGGGGGAAGAGGGAGCAGCACCAGGGAAAAGCAGCCCTGAAACACTGACCTCGTGACTGCCACAAAGAGAAAGCTCTTGCAGGCTCTTGCAGACCATTTGCGAGGCAGAGAGACAAGAGATGCTCAAGGAAAGGCAATTTGTTCTCTCGGGAAGGGGCTGTGGGAGGAATCCTCCTCCAGGCTGAGCCTGTGTGTGCCCAGGTGCAGCTCAGCCCCAAACAGGAGCAACAAGCAGCTTCCTCCTCCTGCAAGCTCCACTGGGAGCCCAAGTTCCAAGCTGTGTGGTTTGCAGGAACAGCAGGACACCAGGATGCCCAGGAAGTACAAACCCAAGGGCACAGGTGTACACATCCAGTGATGGAAAATGCCCTTTTGTTGAGGCTTTGGTTAAGGAGGGATTTTTTAAAAAAGTGTCCAGCCCGCAGATCCCAAGCTGGGTTTTCAGCAGAGGTGATCCTCTCATCTCTGCTGCCTTTGGCTCGGGGGAGTTTAATTATGGCAAATCCCTTCAAGTTACTTTGGCAAGAAAACACAGCCCTGCCTGCTCCCTGCCCACAAACAGGAGCCACTGAATCTCCTGTGGGGCAGAGTCAAGTGACTTTAGTCGTTCCTCGAAGTGAGTTTTAGCCCACCAGCTGACTCCAGGGCAAGGCATGACTGCCCTCTGCGTGCACACACAGCATCCCCTCCCCACAGCCTTGGGGACACCTTTGCACATGGACACCAATGCCACCACCTCTGGCCGCCCCACCACCACCACAGCGGCTGCTCCAGGGGAGGCAAACACAACACATGCTGGAAAATCGGCTTCAGTGCCTACATCCAGGCCCTTCCTCCCCCAGAGCACCGTGTGGCTGAAGGAATCCTTTGCATTAAATCCTGTTAGGGATCCTCTGCACGGTTTCACCCCAACGGGAAAAGCCCCGACGCTGCCGGCAGCCCCTTTCTTGTGCACCGAGAGCAGCAACTCCATAGAAATGCACTTGGCTCGTTCTATGGGAGAAAAGAGCCGAGCAAACGCTCTGCAAGGCGCTGTCTGTGCCTCGGAACCCGGCATGAATAAGCAAGGTACCAGCTGCACACTCCTGAGCGTGCAGGCAGCAGACACAGCAGCCCAGGAGCCACCGCGGCTCCCGGAGCCCAGCGCTGCTAAAAAGTGAATTGGCCCTTCTTAAAATAATGGCTGCGAGAGGGGAGGGAAACCAAACAAATCCCTGCTGCATCCCAGACACAAACTTCTCCGCTAGGAAAATGCCATTTGACCCGGTGTGCGGGAGCAGGAGGGAGGTGAAGGCCGGGATCAGCTCCCAGACGCGGCTCTCCCCGGCCCCGCCGCTGCTCTGCTCTACCAGGGACAGCTCGAGTTTGTTCAGCCAGAAACCTCTCGGAGGACACAGAGGGTTTCTTTTGTGCAGCAGCGAAGGCGAATGCAAACACAGCTTTCTCCCTGAAGGAATATTAGCACAAGCAGAGAGCGAAGGGAAGAGAGAAGGGGAAGGGAGGACGGCGTGGGAGCCCAGCATCACATCCGAGCCTGGGAAAAGAAGAGGGAAGGACAAGCAGAAGCGCAGCCACCTCCAAACACGGCGTCCCTGCTCGGGGAATAGGGCGAAACACAGCGTATGGTGGGGGATGTTCAGCAATAATGTCTGGCTGAGCAAAAAACCAGCTACCCGTGGAGAAGCACTACTCTCTCCAAAAGTTTTATCCTTCATTTAATCAACAGATGGACTGGCTGCGTGGGTTTGGGGTTTTTTTATCCCTTTTTTCTTTTTTTTTTTTTTTTTTTTTTTTTAAAGCATCCCCAAGCCGTACCCTCACAAAAGCCGGCGTGGGGACCACGGCGCCGTGACACAGATGGTGTTTGACACCGGCGCTGGGAGGGGATGAGCAGCAGAGGGGCGAAGCCGGGGTCTGGCTGCAGCTCGGCGTCCTCCACAGGTGACAGCCAGCCCAGGGACCCGGAACGCGGCAGCGCGTCAAACCCGGCTTCCCCGAGCACACCCCCTCCCCAAAGCCACCTTTATGCGTTATTTTTGGGGGGGAATCAAGCAGGTAGTAAAGTTGCAGGGCGAATCCCTGCGCATTCCCACGCTCCTGCCTCCCTCCCGTGCGCCGGGGAGGTGGGACCCGGCCGTGCCACCCCCGCGGGGTGCCCACCTCCCCCGGGCTGGCTGCATTGGCAGCAACTCTTCTTCCTCTCACCTCCCCAGGAGCAAATCGCTCCCCACCCCGGCTGCACAACCGCAGGCTCCCGTGCCCGGGCTGGAGCCGCTGCCGCCGGTCCGAGCGGCTCCTCCGCCGCCACCGACACGGAGCATCCGTCGCCCCCCGCACCGGGGGAAGCACCGGGGGGCGAGGGGGCGTCTGGGGGGGCTGTTGCTCAGCACAGCCGTGTTTACACGCCAACACCACCTCATTACCGGAGCCGAAGCAGCAGCGCGCATTTGCATGCTAAAGATTTTGCCTTTTTTTTTTTTTTTTGAGAAAAAAAGGTAAAGCCGCCTCGCCCGGAGATGCACGAAAAACTCTGCAATCCTCCCCGTCTGCCCCCTCCCTCCTCCCCTCGCCAAAACCACGCGCGGCCCCCGCACCCCACCGCGACCCCCCGACCCGGGGGGACCCCCGGGCTCCTGTCGGAAACTCCGGCGCGGCGCCGGCTCCTACCGTGGCTGAGCAGGAAGCAGGCGAGGAGGAGGAGGAGGAGGTCTGCCTGGAAAGCGCTCATTCCTCAGGGTGGGCTCGGCGCCGGGGGTCGGGGGGCTCCGCTGCCGCTGCCGGCGGGGGCTTCAGGCCGCCGCCCGCCGGCTCCGCTCGCCCGGCTCCGGCTCCATCGCCGCCCCCCAGCTCCTCCCTCCCTCCCCCGGCAGCGCTGCCTTCACTGGCGGAGCCTCGGCGGCGCAGCCCGGCTTTTGGAGAGCGGGGGGGGAAAGGGGAGGGAGGGAAAGTGCCGGGGAAGGGGGAGTAACTTGCGCGCAGCCGGGGGACGGCGATGGCTCAGCCCGCGGGGTGGGGGAGGATTTGTACAGACCCCCCCCTCCCCAACCCCCCCAAAGGTTGGTGCGCGGCCAGAGAGGGTGGAGGGGGTTAAGGTGGGATGGGGGGGGTCGGAGCTGCTCCTGCCTCGGTTGCAGGGAAGGAAGGGATGCTTCCCCCTTCCCCCCTCCTGGTGCTGCCCCCACCCCGAGGGGGCACATAAAGCAGGAGCTCAAACACTTGCGTGGCTTTAACGCCCCCCCCCCATCTCTAAATTTGGAGAGGGTGCTGCCCATCAACCACGGCACCCCTGGACCTCTCCCCACCTGCCTCCGGGGCACCCCGTGCTTTCCCGGGGTGGGGCAGCCAGAGCCTTACCCTGAAATACCCTGAACATCCCCAAAATCCCGGGAAAAGGTGGGGGGAGTAAAAAATAATGTGCCTGCCCCGGGATAAGTTGCACCTTCGCACAAATCCAGAGGGAGCTGGAGATGGGGGGCTCTAGAAGACACCCTCGTTTTCCCCAGGAGGGGGGCAGTGGCTCCTCACACATCCATAAAATCCCACATTGGAGCTGGGAGTGAAAAAAAACACACAGAAACCCTAAAAACCCCCAAAATAAAGGTTTGGTGGGGGGACCCTCTGCAAATGCTTCCCACTGCCATTTGGCAGGGCTGAGGCCTCCCTTGAGAGGGCAGGGGGCAAAAGGGCCTTTTCTCCCCTTTAATCACCATTTTTATCCTTTGTGGGTGTTTTCTTTCTTTCTTTAATTTCCTTTTTACCCAGTGAGAGTTTGGGGGCAGAGCAGAAGTGTCCAAAAATCAAAATAAAGCAATGAAATCATTGCTTACCACCACACTTCTCGTGGCCACGGAGGCCAGAGCCTCCCTCATCACCGAGTCTAAGGGACATGTGGGGATGGCTGAGCTCAATTATTAAACCAAAATTAGAAAGTAATTACAGCTGTGGACTCTAATTACTGAAAGGTGAACTTAAAACAAAAGGCTGCACAGCTTTTCCTGCTGCTTTGGGGGCTCCTGTTTGCCTCGGTGGGGCCACAGCTACACGTGGCTACCAAACTACGGCTACCAGCCCTGGTTCAGCTAAAAAAAAAAGGATAACTTTCCAAAAGACACTTGTGCTAACAAGCTAAAGTGATGCCAGGTGGGTTAAACCTGGCTTAGGAGCAGCGATGAGCTGAGTTTTATTGATTGAAACCCAAGCACCGCACGCAGGCTCTGCTCTCAGCGGAGGAGTGGAGTCACCCTGGAAATAAAGAGCTTTTATTATTATTTTTAGCTGGCATCCCTAAGGAAATAAAGCTGATTTGATTTTTGTCCAGGGGATGCAGGTTTGCTCATCCCTGCCTGCTTGTGTACCTGCAAGAAAAAGGTGCCAAAGTGGGGCTGAATCCTGGGAACTGCCCCATCCCTCGTTTTCCCTCGCCGAGGGCCGGTGGCACTGCCGGGGTGTATTTTCCAGCAGCACATCCTTCCACCCCAACCCTCGGCGGGGTTTTGGCAGCGGCTCCGACCCCGGTGTTGTTTCCCTGCCTGCCCTGCCAGGCACGTTACAGGTGGTGTATTTTTCCCGGCAGCGGCGCTGATTTAAAATGCGCGTGGAATAAAATGCTCCCTGCCTGATTTCAGTGGGAATTAGATTTCTAAATAATTCCCAGGCTCTCCCTGTTGTGTTTCAGTTTATTCTGCAAAATGTTGTTTGCTTGCAGACTAGGGGTACTAATGTATATTAAGGCTGCTACACAAGTCAGGCTTTCCTGTGAAGCTTCAAAACACCATTAACATTTGCATGGCAATTTCTTCTCTTCCTTTCACAAAAAATATTATTCCTTGCCTGCATTAAAACCAGCAGAATTTGGAACTTCCAGCAATCGAGAATATTTTTCTCTTTTTTTTTTCTTCCCTCCCCCCCCACCCTTTTCTCCTTCCCAGTGAAAACATTTCAGCTGGAAAATTCTCATCATTGCAACACTGACCTTTGCAAAGGGCTTTAAATCCTTGAGTGGAAGTAGCATGTAAGTGCAAAGTTTTATTAACTGATTACCTCTGTGGTTTCGACTACATTGGTAGTCAAATTTGATTTAGAGGACCAGGCATGGGGAAAAAAAATCAGGTTTCTGACATAATTTTGGCTTTGCTGCAGCCTGAGCATCGTCCTGCAAGAGCAGCTTCCCTCCACCTGCTCAATTCCAGGAGACCAACTCGAGTGCAAACTGATTATTAGATGCTCCTCTCGGATATCTCATTTAAATCTGCTCTGCTTTGTGGAAGGAAATGAATCATTGCAATTAAAGAGCTGAGAAAATCCCGGCGCTGGGTGAGACGGCCTTCGGGGAGGAACATCAGCCAGTGCCGAGCGGATCCGCCCCCGGCGCCGGCCGGGGCTGGGGTTGCAGGTGGAAACCTCCCCCCGGGTCCCTGTGCATCCCCCTGCCCCCGGAGCTTGGCTTTAGCGGGGCCATATCCGTGTCTCCCCGTGGAATTTGGGCTTGCACACCTGCCCCATGTGGCAAAAAGCAATTTTAGGAGCTGGGAAAAGCAGCTGCTAAACCCCTCCCTTCCCTCTGAACCTCAGCAGGGTTAAACCAGGTACAAACCTCTTCTTTTTTCCCTTTTTTTTTTTTTCGTATTCCACGTTGACAAGTGCATTAGACATGAAACACCACAGCAATGAAAGCCCAGACTTCCCTCGTGCCTTTGACTCTCTTTACTTCCAGGCTATTGACTGAGAAGTATTTACAGGGAAGTGCAAGAAACAAAATGTTCTGAAAGGCTGCAGCAAAATGGAAGGGGGAAAAAAAATAGAGAATAATATAAAACATGTAAGCAGCTTGATCAAAATGAAGCAATATTGACAGAAAATGGAGTTTTAAGCAGCGGGACAACAGCAACTCAGATGGATTTCATTCCTGGGGTATTACAACGCTAAGCCAAGCACCTGGAAGGGAGAGAGAGAGAGAGAGAGAGGAAAATAATCACACGTTTCCCTGGTTCATAAAACCTTTTCCCTGTCGCTTAAAAATGCATATGACAAGTGAAAGCTGGGCAGGGTCCTGCTGTGAAAACACGGAGCTGGCACTCGGAGGTTTGCCCTGCTCCTGCTGCAGAGCTTGGGGAAACACAGCCCCCAGTGCCTCCCCCTCCGAGGGATCTGCTCCCCTTCCTCACCTGGTGGCAACACAAAGGCTTCAAAGCATGAGCTGTCTCCTAATTGGAAAGCAATTTGTTTGGATAATGGGATGGAGGAAGGAGCAGTTGTCCCTCCCAGTGATAGCAGTGACCCTCTGTATAATCCAGCTCTGTGGGGCCTCACTGCAGCTCTGGGGCCGGGAGGTCTCCTGGAGAAGCCAAGGGATGTCCTGGGAGATGGCAGGATGCACTGAAGCCATTCGGAGGTTTTGGGGAGATATTCAGAAGCCTGTTCTTCCCACCAGCAAACCAGGGGTGTTGGGGCAGGAGGTTGATCTCCCAGGTGGTCGCCACCTTCCTGGGATGCTCTCTCAGGAAACACAGGGGCACTTTTTCCTTTGGCCCCGGGTTGGCACGGCTGCCACTGCTTTTTCTTGCAGAAGTAAAGGCAGCTGCCTTCCAAAATCCCCCAGTCCCACCAGCTCCTCTGCCTGGGACACGAGGGGGGTGGGAGTGTCCCAGCTCTCACTCTGCCTCGCTTCCCAGTGCCACCCCAGCCAAAAATGCCAGCCCCTTTCCACACCTCCCGCCCGATCCCCTTTGAAAGCAGCCCCAGCCGAGGCCGGGGAAGCAGATCGGGGGGAGGGCCTGGGCTCTCTTTCTCCTTGTCTCCTTTCTCTCCCAGCTCCATGGACAGCTGCCAAAACCCCTCAGCCTGTGGCACTTGATAAAGCTCTTGGACAGCAGGTCTGGGAGCAATCTGGGCAGAGATAGGCAGGGCCTGGGAACAGCCACTGCGAGGGGAGAAAGAAGCTTTGAGGGTCAAAACCAAAAAATAAAAGCACTCTGGTGACATTTTGGGTTCAGGTGGGGATGGTTTGGCTTTCTATGCCAACTTGGCACCCCCTTTGCCTTAGGGGAGCCGGTGGGAGCAGCCCCTGGGAAGGCTGAAGGCGGGTGTCAGGAAGCAGACACCTCTCTGCCTGCACCACCAGTGCTGAGTGATGCCCTCGGGGCTGGAACAGTGTCTGGTTAACACAGGGTCCTCACCAAATCCCCCCTGCCCCTGCCTGGGATGGGGCAAAGGGACCTGGAGGTCCTGGGTGAGGGCACATTGAACGTGGGATGGAGTCAGCAGTGCCCTGGCAGCCCAAAGTCCTGGGGGGCATCAGGCATGGCCAGGTGAGGGAGGGGATTGTCCCTCTGCTCTGACCTGGGGTGCCCTCACCTGCAGTACTGGGGAAGTTTGGGCAACACAAGATAAGAAAGATCTAAAGCTCTTGGAGAGAGTCCAAAGGAGGGGCACAAAGATGGTGAAGGGTCTGGAGAGACCATAGGAGAAGGGGCTGAGGGCACTTGGCACTTCAGCCTGGAGGAGACTGGGGGGAGACTCAGTGGGGCTGCAGCTCCTCCCGAGGGGCAGCTCCAGCTCTGCTCTGGGGGACCAGGGACAGCAGCCAGGGAATGGCTGGAGCTGTGTCAGGGCAGGCTCAGGTTGGATCTCAGGAAAAGGTTCTTCCCCCAGAGGCTGGTTGGGCACTGCCCAGGCTCCCCAGGGCAGTGGGCACAGCCCCAAGGCTGCCAGAGCTCCAGGAGGGTTTGGACAATGCTCTGAGGGACAGGGTGGGATTGTTGGGGTGTCTGTGCAGGGCCAGGGGATGGA